GCCAAGCTCCAGGGTCCAAAGGGTTCCAATGTAACATCGCTCGCCAAGACAATCGGCCATTTGTTACGTGTACCATTCATTGGTGGGAGAAAAACTAAACAAATGATTCGCGCCTTGGTGGACATGGGAGCGGAGGTCACAATAGTGCACGGGAACCGAGAAAAGCACAGGGGTGATGTAACCCCTGTTTGGGGTTTGGGTGACCAGCCTGTCAAGGGAAAACTTGTGACCTACTGCCATCACGCTATATACCGGACTCTTGAAGCTGCTGGGGTGTTGCAACCAGGGAAGGTCCAGGTGATCCAATCAATCAGAGTGCTCAACAATAGAGGGTTGACCAAAGAGTGGGCGCCCCTTACCCTGATGAGAGGGATACCCCTGAATCGTGCGGTAGCCACCTCGACTGTAGCATATGAATCCAGAATGAACTCTAGTCTCTTCCCTGCTAGGGAAGGGTTGGTATTAAACCATAGAGCCTGGGGAGGGGCCAAGAATCGAAATACGCTCTCCCCACCCCATGCCATGAGTGGATCAGCTGTTCTGGGAGAACAGTTTAGCATAGGAAACAAGAATGATGCGACAGCTGTGGAGGCCTACCTCAAGAACAGCAGTACAGGATGCCTTGTTAGCAGATAATCAACCTCAAGGATGGCAGTCCAGCTGTCTTGTTAATGAACCTCAAGGATGGCAGTACAGAACATCTTATCAACAGATAAGGAACAAAGCAAGAAAAAGAAGAAAACTGCAACCGCACGGCTGGCGCGTGATTAAGAAGCTTATTAGATAATTTTGACATAATTCTTTATACTATTGGCTTATTTAGTAACTGCGCTTTGCATGCTTTTTGCAAATAAGGAATAATATCCAGTTTAGTACAGTATATAAGTTTTATCTGATGCTTAATAAAATGTATTTGGTTCATTATACCAGAGTCCATGCGCATCGTACGCTGCAAATGGCGCCCAACGTGGGGCACAAACATTGAGGAGACTCACAAAGTCTGAACC